TGGAAAATGAAATGAGAATAAGAAAAGAAAGATCTAGACAACAGACCAACCAACAAAGGCAAGCTATAAAAGAAAACAGAAATATCAAAATTTACCATTTACATATTGCATCGATTGCTGCATACTGGCACATTCAAAAGTCTCTACCATTTTTTTTACCAAAAGAAAGGAATGCAGAAGTAACAAAAGGTACCAAGTCTTCCTAGTAAGTGAATTTTTCCTTTTCTTTCTTTCGAATTTGATTGGCATTGGAATCATTGAAGACATGCAGAACCATATGTATGGAATGATACATTCTGAGGTTTAATAACAAAATTTCCCATACAAAATGTTTACATTTTCATCTACCACTGGATGAAAGCATCAAAAATGTGTACTAAGCAATCATTCTGTAAAAATTGTATTTAAAAATCAAACTAATAAAGAATTGATAATCAAGCTACTCTCAAGCAAAGAATGCTTGCCTAACACAAAAACAACTGTGATCTTCTTGTAACCTGGGAAGCCCCCATTAACATCCTGCATTCAGATAGTCAGTATTATCCTTGATACCAAATTAAATGAAGTGGTCTTGTCAATAAAAAAAAAAACAAGTGCTAAGTCAAAATTTCTAAATCATGTGCTACAATAGCAATATGAATAGAGGAGAGTGGAAAACAGACAATATATTCAAAAAGGTACTGGTAATGTTACACACTCTATTCTTGTGCAAACTGAAAAATTACAAGATCCCATTGGGACACATAAGTGAAGCTTCAATATCCAACAAGATATTCTCTTGTCAATTAAATAATTCCATACGACTATTGCAATGAAACCAGAAAATAGGATACCTTGCTTGAATCTACCATTGTGCCCGTCAGAAGCAAGTCGGATGTCAAATTTTACGTCTGCAAGTTCAGACGAAGATAACATCAAGCATTTGTCACCAAAATACATAAACATATAGCAAGACATCCAATTGAGGCAAGCAGTGAAACTAAGACTTTAGAAATGGGATCTGTCACAAAACATCATACTCGAACTTTCAGATCCACCAAATATACAAAGAGAAATAAGCCATCAACATCAAATGCCAAATCGAATGCAAACCTATTAAATGCACAAAAAGGAAGAAGAGTGCATTGTAACAAATCAAGAAAACAACAAAGATCACCACGGATTCCACAATCCACATCAATTTTGCAAATAATATCCCTAGTTTATAATTATTGATCAATCTTGAACCTCAATCATATCAGAGCGCACCCCCAACTGCTACGAACTAACAGAAGGAGAGAATAGTACATTGCAACGCGCAACAAAGATGTAGATCGAGAAACCAGAAACATCAGAAATTTAGCCAACGGTACGGATTCCACGCTCCACAAACCAGAAACATCAGAAATTTAGCCAACGGTACGGATTCCACGCTCCACATCAATTATGCAAACCATAGCCCTAGGTTTTGAGTACTTATTAATCTTTCATCCAAATCATATCAAGTCCTATAAATCAAGAATCGAGAAAGAACTAAGCTGCAGAGGTTCCAAACTCACCGGTTCTACCAACGGAGGAACGCAAGAAATCAAACTTCAAACCAAGAAGAGAAATCCAAAGAGTTCTCCGACCTGCGAACTAACTGGCCGAGATGTAAACGAGGAAAAGCATCTCATCGACAACCTAGAGATCGAACCGATGCATCACAAAGGTGGGGAAGTGGAGGAGAACGAGACCCGATACCTGAGACCGAGTGATTCTATTCCAATTCCTCGCGAGAAACAAAGAGGATGAAGATTGGAAGGAGGGAAATCGACGCCTCCGCGTTCATCTCACCACTTATTTATAGAGAGAGAGAGAGAGAGAGGGTGGCCGAGAAAAATAAGGCCAAGGGTAGAATTCCGAACGGAATCACTGGGTGGGAATACGCTTAAGACAACGCTTCGATCACGATCGGACGGCCACGAATACTTGATTGGGGGAAGTGGCAAGACAGTAAATCTCTCTCCCTCCTAAAATGCCTAACAAACTGCTCGTGGAATGCTATGATAGGAATACGCATAAGGACGACGCTTCGATCACGATCGGACGGGCACGGATAATTGATGGGGGATGTGGCAAAAGAGTAAATATGTCTCCTTCCCCAAAAATACCTAAGTAGCTGCTCGAGCAAATCCTAGGATGGGAATACGCTTAAGGACGACGCTTCATTCACGATCGGACGACCAGGAATACTTGATGAGAGTAGTGGCAAGAGAGTAAATATCTCTATTTCCCCAAAAATACGTACGTAGCGGCTCGTGGAAATCCAAGGATGGGAATACGCTTAAGGACGACGCTTCATTCACGATCGGACGGCCACGGATATTTGATGAGAGGAGTGGCAAGTGAGTAATTATATCTTCTTCCTTAAAATACCTGAGCAAACCGCTCGTGGAATCTCATGATGGGATAAGGACGACGCTTCGATCACGATCGGACGGCCGCACATACTGATGAGAGGATTGGCAATAGAGTAAATATCTCCGCTTCCCAAAAATACCTCAGTTACCTGGTAAATAATTTGTTATATTAAATATATAATTTATTTCATATTTTTATATTTGATTGAATATAAAATTATATTTTTATATTTGTATGGAATTTGTTATAATCTTACAAAAAATTTGTATGAATAGACATATAATAATAAAAATGAATGTAAAATAATATTTAAAAATAAAATAAAATTTCACCTTGTAAAAAACATAAATCATGTTGGTTTTTCACTAAATTAAGTTAACAATCTTCTGATTTTAAATAATGCCATATGGTGTTTAAGGAATTTATGAAATCACATTAGCATCCCAAATGTGATTTGAAAAAAAAAATTATTGAACTCCAAGCTCTTAATGCATATTATGTTTTCAAGTATATTTTACAATGTTTTTATTATGATGACCAAATCACTATACTAGATTAATTTTTAAATTCATTTGGGTGGTATTGTTTCTAAACTATTATACAAATATGTTAAATATTATTATGATTTTCCAAATGGTTTATAGTATATTTTGATTCAATTTAACTAACTTATAGTATTTGTTAATAGTGTTAAAGTATTTTTGTTGACATGTTGAAAGAATTATAAAGGTATTAAAAAAATATTATAAGTAATATCATATTATGTCCTTTTGGATTTGTTGTTCATGCATCATTATGATATCAAACTTTTAGATTTATAGATGGTTTAGTTGAGGCTATGGGTCAACTTAGGTCAATTACAATGTTTTCAAATATACATTACAGTGTATTTATTGTAGTGATCAAAGCATTATAATATGTTAATTTTTTATCCTCATTTTTGTGATGTTATTTCTAAACTATTATAAATACTTATATAATAGTTTCTAGCGTAGATTGATTTAATTTGTCTCAATTATATTTTTTTTAATAATATTATAATATATTTATTGATATATTGAAAAATAATATGAGTAATATCATATTATCTCCTTTAATTTTATTAAATTAGAGAATTCATCTGTGTCATATATAGTGTTTTCAGGATCGATAGCCTATAGAATATCTCCGAGTATAATAGTATCGTTGTGATATATCTTTATAAAAAAAATAAAAATAATTTTTTTTTCAAAGAAATCATCCATATAGTAAAAGAATTGGTATTGATTAGTTTGGGAAGTGGCATGAAGACATTGTGTTTTCCCATCATCTCAAGGATGCATTAATTGGATGGCTACCATAGAACATAATTGTTAGTGCATTCCTCCCTGTGACTATTTTCCCAATGTGAGTGTCTTCTTCCTCGCTGAAATCTTCGCTTTTAATTTGCTTTATGTGGTTGCGATCGAATGACTGCAACCATACGCAATGCAACCCCAAACGAAAAGGATTTATGTCCGCCACAATTGACCGTATTTAGTGCATCAATAGATACATGTTTGTCAAGCTGAGAATGGAAAGCTTTTTATTTGATTTTATCATTGTAATACTTATTTTATATTTTATAATTTTTTATATTTTTTTATCACTTGTGAAATAATAATATATTAATTAATTGAATATCAACACATACCTTAAAATTATATGCATTAAATAAGATTTCAGGTAATATAATTTGATGGTGAACTAACTCATCTAGATGAGTTTGACTTGATGTGATGGATTTGGAAATCGTATGATGGTAAGAGGAGATCATTGACATGGTTGAAACAACATTAATATACATTGCGACTTATAGTTTTAAATAGTTGACTAATACTACCATGCTTCCACTACTATGAATTTAACACGTATACAAAATTTGGACCCAACAAACTCAGTGATGGGACCAAATTGTTGACTAGATTTAATGATATCGATGCAAGACCACAACGGTCCATATTGTATTTTGCTGATGATGTAAATTATATGTTTTTGAAGGATCTTATATATATATATATATATTATATAATAAATATGATGAAATTAAATCAAATAAAATATTTATTTATACGATGGAATTTATTATATGGACTTGCTTAAGTAACGTGTAAGGACTAGGCTTTGGTAAAGTGGGTATGTCTTTCAACAGCTCAACCACCAATCCGTGAGTGTGACTCAATTAATTGGGCGAGGGTCCCACTCGTTGAGTGATTCAGATCCCTTATACATGTTTTATAATGAATCCATGAAAAGATAATTTTTAATAAAATTGTTGATAAATATAAATTTAATGGCGATTAATTTTAATTTCGTAATTTTTATGATTCTTTTACGCAATAAAAATCAAAGCGAAGAATATTTGGAAAAAAGGTAAGAGCTATCTGTACCCAAATTTGTTCACGGTGGGCCGTACCTGCTTCTTGTTGGTAGCGTTAATGGGCCCCGCGCTAGAGAGGTTGGGCCCGGTCGAGCTGGGTCCGGATGATCGGGTCGGTTGGCACGTCACCCATGATAATTTTTTTGGGCGACTCGATCAGTTCCCGCGGGATTTTTCCGACTAGTTATTGTTTCGAGAATAAAATATGCCCTATTTAATAGCTCGAGCCTGGAGGAAACGACGAAGAGGAGAAGAGCTCCGCCCCGTCTCGATCTCGATCTGGTGTTGGGGGAATCGGGGGAGAACCGAACCTTTGTGCTCGTTTTATCCTCGATTCCTGTGCTGAACCGTCGATGGCCGCAGGGCGGCGGCGATGAAGTGCAAGAAGCACCCGTACGAACTGGGCGCCGGTGTCTGCGCCTCCTGCCTCCGCGAGCGCCTCCTCACCCTCGTCGCCGCCCAGGATGGGCTCGCCCCCCGTGACTACCATTACAGAAACCACCGCCGGACGTTCGACGCGCCACCGGCCCCTCCGGCACCCCCCGTCGCCTTCCCCCGGTCCGTGTCGCCTTACTTGCCTCCCCGCCGATCCGCCGGATCCAGCGCTTCCCACCACTGCGACCGCCGTTTCTTCAGCACCCCCCAGCTCGGCCCTACCTTCGGCGGCGAGGTCGATGGTGGTCCGAGCCGGAGCTACGGGCGGTTCTCCGTCCTCAAAGCCCTGTTCGGTCATCACAGACAGGAGAAGGTGGAGGTGGACTGGGGGTATTGCGAGGGTTCTGGATCGAGATCATGGTTCTCGGCGCTTGTTCCCGGCATCCGCCGGAAGAAGAAGCAACCTCAGGTCTCCTCGGCGGCCGAGGGGGAGGCGCTTCCGGAACAGACGAGGAGGTCGTGCCGGGTGGTGGGGCGGGGAATGTCGCCGGCCATGGAGGAAGAGGAGGTGGACGAGATCGGATACTCGAGCGAGTCTTCGAACGGGTGGCGGCGTCCGACTCCGACGCCCCTGCGGCGGATCTCCGCTAACACCCGCAGCCGCCACCACCACCCACGCGGCCTCGGCGGCGTATCGAGTTTCGCCGTCTGCCTGAGCCCGCTGATGAGGGTGGGCCCAGGCGGGAGGCACAGCCACGTGGCGGAACCGGCTGCCGTCTCCAGCGAGCTGTGGGGCCCGGCGAGCTCCGTCCGCCGCCACCGGCGCGCCACGGCCGCAGGCGCTCCGCGCGGGCTCGACCCCTGCCGGTCGAGGAAGCTGGCCGATTTCGCCCGGTTCAATTGACGATTTAGCCCCCGACCCCCCTTTCTTCCGTGACTGCTCGTTTCGTCTTCCCCGTGACGACCCTTTTAGTTTCTTTTTCTTTTGTGGGAAAAGAATTTAAAACCAGCGTTGTATAGCATATATGAAAAAGAAATAATACCTAACAGATGTTGCATTCAGATTCGTGCAGGTGTCCATCCGACGGTGTAGGCAACCGACAAGATTGGCTTCCACGCAGGTTTCCATTAAATAACGTGTAGTGGACTCATAAAAGCTGTACTAGTATAAGTCGACATCTCATCGACTGTGCCAATCGGTACATTCTTCTGTTAGCAAACACAATGATGATATGCGTGGCTTACAGACTAAGGGATAGCTAAACAGTGATGTGTGTCAGCTACTCCACTTGTTGTGAATTGGGTCGCTGAACATTTATGAGTGCCTTCCATTCCACCTGTTGTGAATTCCATAATGCATCCTCAGATCCACCCGTTCTGCATTTGTTGAACTCACAGCCATGGCCACCACATAGTGCAATTCCCACTCCATGAGCCAGTAGAATCAAGCAAGAAGATAAGTCCAAAAATAACATGAGAAAAGAGAAGCAAGACTTGTCTTTTGGTTTTAGTAGTTCCTATCATTCTATCAGGAAAATTGAGTGTGCCCACTAGATGTTCGTCTAAATGTCACTTTCAGCCACACATCTGGGTCCTTTCATGAAAGGCCTGTTCCCATGACAGGCCGGGCTTTCTCTCACGACTTCGTTGGGGCTCGATAAGGTGATGAAAGTTTCCGGCCTGGGTATGAGCTTCCAATCACGGCGGTTTTTGAAGCTTCTGAAATCAAACCCTAATTGTTTCCAGGGAACCGCAAACCCCTCGAAAGATCCCATGGCAGCACGCGGCTCCACGTCTACCACCGGCGACTGGTAGCGGCGCCTTCGTTTCAGTCGCAATCTTAGAAGAACCTGCTCTCTTGCGACGCCCATTGCTTAAGGTCTCCCCCGTCCACCAGAGCCTAATCTGCTTCTTTTATTTTGTTTCGTTGTCCGATTCCTAGTGTGACTCCTTCTTTTCGGGTAAAAAATGATTTTTTTCTCATTTTTTCGTGGAATTTATGCTTCGAGAGATTGAGGAATCTCAGTTTCATATTTGATGTAGAACCTACTGTTCAATCCTCTAGGGTTTTATGCCTGCATTAATCTTCGTTATACTGATCCAACTGGTTTTTGGTTTCGGTGTTTGAGGATTATTATTATTTTTATCCTGATTCAAAGGTTTTTAATTTCTTCCGGTTCGGCCGGTGTGTCCTGGTCCGACCTCCGACTACGATGCGGAGCGAGAAATCCGGGTGGTCCGGTCTGGTTCGTTGCTTAACGCCTTAAACCCCGTGGTTTACCTTTCTAACTTGAGGAGGACTCGCCAGGCGCGTCTCCTCTCCCTCCGCCCGTCGCCGCCGCCCGCGTATCTGCCGACCCCCGCGCGTCCTCCATCCGCCGCTGCCCTTCGCCAGCTCTGGTACTTCTCCTCCTTCTCCTCCGCCTTCTCTTCCTCCTCCTCTCTCCTCCTTATCCTCTTCCTCCATCGCCTCCGCTTCCTCGTCGTCCTCTTCGTCCCCTCCAGTCGGGTAACCGAAATTGAATTTCTTCTACCAAGAACGCTTGCTTTTTAGGATATAACTATTTATAACCCTTTTTGTTGTTTACAATCCCGTGTTAAAAAAATTAAATATTCTTAAGATATCCCTTTGTAAATGGATGTATATGCCCTTAATTTATCACTTAACGCCAATAAAGTCTTCCCATTCCTTACATACAACCTCTTTGGCGTGGGGCTGCATGGAGTGTGGGAGGGGGAACGTTGACCAAGCGTAGGGCAGCAGGGAGCGTGGGAGGGGGAATCACTGACGAAGCTTGGGGCGGTGATTGTCTCCATCTGCAAAGGGTCAATGCCCCTAAAACCTTTTATTGATCCCTTAAGGATTTACAAAAGAGAAGATGGATTAGAGAGGAAGCATTTAATTTGGGATACCACAAGTAGATATTTCAGCAAACACTTGATAGACAATGCAAATTACAATCATAGACTTCATAAGCTTTGGACGATCGTGCGATAAGGAATCCAAGGTGGTCCACCATGGTCAAAAGTTTTCACAAGTACCCACATGACACTGCTGTGAAACAAGATAACGAATCAACCCTAAACACTACCACAAAGGCTCATCCAACCATATGCTACCCAGGTAGCTTTTGGGTGCTGTGCTGATTGACACTCCTCACCACTTTACGGAGTGAGAAAACCCCCAAAATAGTTGCTTGGATGGTTTATTTTTAATGCAATTTTGCCTCTGTGCAATGATTGTACATAACTTATGTTTACAGGACTAAAACGACCACAAAGGCCAATCAAAATGAGACCGTCGAGCTTATTGCAAGTCTTCTACATGCTGTGCAAAGTATGAATAAAATCGAAAGACACAAACATACATAAATATTACATCAAATACCCTGTTTACAAATTTGTCTGTGATAGATTGTTAGAGGGGAGAGTGTTGGCGAAGTGCAGGGCGTAGGGAGTGTTGACAACGGTAAGGTGTGCAGGTGACAATGGGGGTTGGGAAGAAAATAAAGAAAAAAAGGATAAACTGAAATTAGTGAGGTTATAAATAGTAAAATATTATTTTATTAAGTTTTTAAGTGGTTGCCAATAGTAAGGGGGTTGTCATTAGTAAATAGGGGCTCTAAATAGTAAATCTCTATTTTTTTAAACCTTTTTAATGCGATGTGGTAGGATTCGCAAGGAGCGTCTCCTCTCTATCGTGCCAGTCGTCGCCCAAGTGCCTATCGTTGCCCGTGCCTTCACCGCATGTCGTCGACTCCAATACATCTTCTTTTCCTCCTCTTCCTGATAGCCAAAATTGAATTTATTGGATCAAGAAAGCTTGCTTTTTATTAAGAGATCAAATTTTCTTGCAAATGACTTCTAGGCCATCTTTAATGGCCACGGTGGTGCACATCCTCTTCATTGTGCTCGTTGTCGCCCACGCACCTACCCGCGTCGGTACATTTTCTCCTCTTCTCTTCTCTTCCTCCACCGCCTTCGCTTCCTCCTCTTGTTGCTCCAACGTCTCTTCTTTCCTTCTTTATCATCGAAGAGCTTTCTATTAAGAGTTTAAATTTTCTCACAAATGACTTCTAGGCCATTTTTAATGGTGTTCTTTTCTAATAAACAAATTAATTTATTTACTTTTGAATACAACAACAACAACAACAATAAAGCCGTAAGTCTCAACTTCTGAATAAGCGATTTTTTTTCTTGTTCTTCTTTCTTCTTCTTCTTCCATCATCTTCTTCTTTCTTCTTGCTATTTCTTGGATCAAGATAGCTTGCTTTTTAGTAAGAGTTTAAATTTTCTCGCAAATGATTTCTAGGCCATCTTTAATGGCCTTCTTTCTTGATGAATAAATTAACTTATGCACATTTAAATAATTTTTTTTCTTTTTTTTATCTGTTTATATTTTGGACAACAACATCAAGGCTAATTTAGTGGTCCAGATTATTAGATACAGCAATATGCTTTTACTAAGAAAGCTTATTATGCAACCTTATCTTGCTTGTATTTTGTTTGTTTCTTGTGACATATTCAGGGTTCTGTGGTTGCTCACCATCCATTCTTGACCATCGCTGTTGACATGAAAACATTCATCCGTTGAGTTGCAGATCTGGATTTTTGGCTGGGCTTCTGTACCATGTACCATTGTAGAAGATTTTTGCCCAAACTAGCCAAAGGAATGTATATGATAAAACACCAAGGTAAATTTCTGGCTAATACATTGTCTCTATATTTTCAATGTCACTGCATGTTTTGCTTTTTGTGCATAATCAGTTGATGATGTAGCAAATCACTGGAGGAGCACCATATGGATGAGTTCCTGTTACTAAGTTTCAATTTCAAATGGTAGGAGACAACATGTTGAATAGTCATCTTATCCAAGTTCTTGACTAGGTCTTTATGGGTATTTCTCTTTAGCATTTATACCCAACAAAACAAGAAGCTGCATGAATGACCTTCTGTATGTATCGCATTTGCCTGTGGTGCAAGTCAATTTTCTTATAAATCTTGACTATTTATGAAAAGTTAAAATGCACCATCCAACACTTTCAGAAAGTCAACTAGAAGGCAATTTCTTTACTAGTTTTTCTTTTCAGCTTAAAGAAAGTTTATGGACAACAGGAATATGTACTTTAATCTTTATTGTTTGTATAAGTAGGAGAATATTTTGGACAATTGGAAGTTGAAATTCATCAACATTGATTTTTTAGGAAAAAATTGTTCATTTTGAATGCCAATCATTTGAAACTCATATAGCCAATCATTTATTCTAAGGAGGCTTCATCATTTCATGATGAGTTTTCACAGTCATATTTGACTTGTCTATATTTTTTTTCCTCTAATCAGAATCAACACTGGGGAGAGGCTTTTTAGTGACCTCTTTGTTACATCACTTGTCAAAAACAACAGATACACATTGTATAAAGGTTGATTATGTTCCCAGGTAATTTGATTTGCTGCCTATAAATTACTTTTCCTTTGTATCAATGTTTACCTTCCTGCATAGCTTTGACCTGCATTGTGTCAGATAACAGTCGATTTTGTTTAAATACTTGAAAACAATCAAGTTTAAAGGGATCAGTGGCACTCTACCCAGACAAGACTAGATTTTTTCCATCATGTACTTGAATACGGATGATTTTTAAGTGTTAGCTTGCTACTTAGAAGCACATTATATGCCATGAATATCTTGATGTGCACAAATGTTTTTTGTTTTCGATGATGGTTGTGGAAAGCACATAACATCATACTGTCAGCTGAAATTTTGGGATGGAAACTTGTTTGTATTTTATATCTTGGATGACAGGCAAGGTGAAATGGTGAAGTATATAGGCTTTGCAGAGGATGATATTGGCAGATAAAAAGTTGGTCTTATTCTGGTAAACGAACCCACAGAAGCAAGTTGATTGAGTTTGAACAAAAACACGATAAGGAAGGAAAATAATGCACCTAAAAGATTTATAAACAACTTGGTGTCTACATTAGTTCTCATCTGACTGGAAATGCAACAAGATCAAGAAAAGTCTAAATTATCCCCAACATTGAGCCTGAGCTTTAGAGAGACAATCCAGCCTTCTCTTTTTACTTGTGAATTATTTATGGTTTTTCTTATTTCTAAAGTTGTGAGAGTTGATTGTCTTTGAATTGATTATAAATCCTTTTGTCTAATCTGCATGTGATGAAGTCACTCAAAGATTTGTTTTGCATGTTTAACTGAATATATTTCTGTCAAATTTGTTCAATCACACTAAATTTTTATCTTGGCATGTTTGACTAGGATTGCGCATAAAGGAAGGTGCTGCTGAAAGCTTTAGGAGAAGTGTTTTGCATATTTAAGTTGTGAATTTAGGTTTAATATTTTATCTTCACTTGTAGCCTCTTGACCAACAACAATTAGACTTCTTTGTTGTTGTGTCATAATTGTCATATTATTTTTGGTCTAGCCTTGTAGAATGTGGAGAATGATATAATAAAAAAAACTGTTGTTTAACATATATGGTTAACGATTTGATTAGCCTACAAATGGTTTAGCTCTGACCAAGTATAAAATGAAGGAAAATCATTTTAGAAGATACATGCATTTCTGAAGAAGACCTATATACACACTGAATTAAATATAATTAGGGAGATAGAAGAGGATTTACAAAGACATTATTAGAAGCCATAAAAAATGGTTTGACTGCTTTTCTTAGACTAGCAATGCTGGAATATCCACATAGACAATAAATTGAGACATTATTGCTTGTTTTGTTATTGTTCTATTTCTCATCACATGCAAGTATTTATTTGATCATCCAAGATGACTTTCATCTGCATGGTTCCCAGCAAGCTTCAACAGAGTGGTTTTTCTAATTGTGCGACTTATTTTACTAGGATTTTCACAGTTCAGGAATGAATTAGTTATTGGATTTATTTTGCCCATTTCAAGTTACTGTAGGTAGGACTTCCCATCTGCATCATCCGTGCATTTAATTTAATTTTGGTGTAAAATGCATTTCTAATTAAATTTAGTAGTTGCCTCTCAGGTGCTCGATTGCGTCTGAAACTCATGATGGTTCATTTTCACAAACAGATATATTGAGCTTTGTCAAGTCTGCTTTTCATAAGCTTGAAGGTAATCTCATATTCTCCACCTTTTGATATTCTTTTGACTTCTTACATGGTCGGTACCACCTTTTGATATTCTCCACCTTTGTCAAGTTGGTGTTTCTTGGACTGATACGGTATTCATCCGTATCGGCATATCGAGTTTTGGTACGCTGGTACATAGTAAGTTTCGAAAAATGCTTAAAAAGGCTGAAAAAATAAAAAAAGTGCCCACCTCACTGGGTGGTACCGGCCATGCACATGGCTTGTACTATGAACAGGGCTTGTACTGCAGCATACAAGCCTTGTCCTGAGTATTGTCAGCTTACACTGGTTTGTGTAGTTGTAACTTGTTGGAGTGGTAAATACCACCAATACCCATCGAAAACGATATTGCAAACCTTGCATAAAAGTATGAAGTGACTAGAGAACATTAAATCGAACAAACTATGTAAAAACAAGGTTTGCAATAACATTCAATACAATGTGTTACAACAGATATTTACAGGTCTAACAATTCGTCAGTATATGAACCAATGTAAACCAGGCAGTATGCTGGTACCAGACCCATGCCAAATGGTACAATCCTTGTATCACTTGATACACTTGATTCAGGATTGATACTGTGCACTGAGCATTTTTTTATTTTTTTTGTTGTTCCAACTCTTTTAGGCCTTTTCAAAACTTAGTACTTATTGGCGTACTGGTACTCATTTTACTGGTATCATACTGGACTAATCCTTGACTGTTACAGCTTCGGTATACGAAATTATGAACCTTGCTTTTAAGAGTACCTTAAGGTTAGTTTTACTATCACTGGCCTACTAGGTTGTATCGTAAGGCAAAGGAAACTAGTGAAAATAAATGCTACTACATTAAATTAGTTATACCAGTTTTTGGCCGATTGGTTCTTGCTGGAAACTTCAGAGTTAGCTAATTTCATCTTGCTGGTTCAAGTTTTAATTTTGTCTCCCAGTTTGGAAGTTGAATCTAAATTATCAGTCTGCAGAAATACTCTTTAAAAATATCCATACTATATACAACTGGAACAAATGCACAACCGCATGAAGATACCATTTAATTAGAATCTGGGTTAGAAAGTAAGCCAACTCACAAGAAGTGCTTCTCCAAAATCCAAACAATGTAAAATAAGTGTTCACAACATACAAAAGGTAAAATTTTTGTGTTGTCTGATTGAGTTCAGGGGATCACAGCCATCTGTCATTTTATTCCTGATATAGTTGGCTAACAAGTTATGAACTAAAGTGTGCTAATAAGTTACCTACAAAGGAACCCATGGGATAACTTCTTCATCCTTAGGACTAGGAACTATTATAGGTTTTGCAAGGATAAATAACTGAAAGGTGTTTTCTTGGGGAGTCTTTTGCACGAGTGCTTAGGAATACCAGATGGTTTCATGCTTCATAGCAAGGTTCGCAATACCGTACCGTACCAGTGTTTCGACTTGGGCTCGGTACCGGTACGGTACGGTGTACCAAGCGGTATACCCAGGTGTATCGAGTACTGTAGCACTGCTACAGTATACTACTACAGTATACTTGTGCACTGTACTGCTACTATAACAGTGCACTGCAACAATAAACTGTACTGTTATAGTGCTACAGTCACTGCTACAGTGCGGACCGGTAGCAGGCGGTCCGTGTACCGTCAATCTCTTGGACCGATATGTACTGCCCGTACCGGGCGGTACGATTCGATATGACGGACCTTGCTTCATAGTAAAGCTTAAAATTTTACTGAAATATCTTATCTTTTGAATTTAATTACATATTTGTTTTCAAATTTAAACTTCATTGTGTTTGACTCACTCATTGTATCTTTATTTGGCATCAGTTGGTAAATATGTTCTTTTTAACATTCCTCTGCATAATTTGTAATGTTGAATGATTTATGATGTTGAGTCATTCTGAACTGTTAAATTCATATGAAAATATTTTTTTTTGTTTTGGAGCTAAATTGATATGGTCTTTTGTAGCTGATGGATCAAAGAATAATAAGACAGGTAGTGTTGTTTTGGGTGACAGTTCTCTTCTTTTTAGAGTCTAGTAACTTGTTGGTCGCAAATCAACAAGTTAATAGGCTAAATATGCGAACATTTTTTGTTGTTTTTTCAGTACATAATTAGCCAAGATCATATAAAATTGTCACAACTTGGTGAATTCTGCCAATTTTTAATTTCCTGATGTGATCAAATTTGGATGATTGGATGAAGATCACACTGATTCTTTTGGTTTTAAGTATTGTCCTTTGTAGCCTAATGAACATATAATATGTACTTACCAATATGCAGGACCAAATCATTATTGGTTGAATGACATTGGTGGCAATACAAAGTCCAATCAGGATGGAATATTTTTAGTGCTTGTGTTTTCAATTACCAAGGACACAGACATTGTTGGTTACAATGAACGTGTTACTATGTTTCATAGGGTAAAATTGCTACAGCAGAGGTAGTTGTGTTTAAGCTTATTCTCATAATTGTAGAGCTTTCATCAAAAGTAAGGTGGTCACTGACAATAAGTTTCTCATTGTAGGTATCCAGAACTTAATGTTCTTGCTTTATGTTGTGGTTCAATTGATTTAGCTTCTAATCATGCATGGATCACTGAAGCCATTATGGAGGAGTATGTCACCTTTCCTATCTTGGTATTAAAGAAGGATTTTATGAAGGTAAAGCATGAGCTTCTTTTATTTTGTTTTTGTGTATGCTGGCAGAAAATGAGTAGTGCAGAGAGATGTGATTGATGTATTATGTGACTTGAAGTAAGCCTTGGAGAAAAGAGATGCTTAAAAGACTGTAATGGGAAATGTCTGACATAGTTCAACTGAAGATCTTGATTGCATATAAAATAAGGAAGTTCCTCTGCATGCAAAATGTAATGCTTCTAGTCTTCCACTTTCTTGAATTTTTGAGTGGGAGGGGACTGAGACGATGAGAGGGAGGATGGGGTTGGGTTTTTGGGGGGGGGGGGGCGTTGGGGTTTGTGTGGAGGGAGAGGGATGCGGGGTGAAGAGGGAGAGGGGGCCATGGTGTTGATGAACGGGGGAAGAGGGAGGAGGGAGGTGGTGTTGATGGACGAGGGAGGAGGGAGGTGGTGTTGATGGACGAGGGAAGAGGGAGGAGGGAGGTTGGTGTCGGAGAAGTGGGACGGATCCAGGAAGAGGGCATGGGCTGCGACGAGGAGAAGGGAGAGGGATGATGGTGTCGGGGTAGGGGGGAACTACGATGAGGCAAGAGGCTGCAACGAGGGGGGTATGGTGAATGAGGGAGGAGGGAGGAGGAGTGTACAACGACGGAGGAGGAATGAGAGAGAGAGAGAGAGGAAGAAGCTGTCATCGTTCGCTAATAAACAGGAAGCTATTTCATGTCTCTTTTTTGTGCTGTTGGAAGAATCTTTATACATCTAGAAAGATTATGACTTCTCAATTGAGATGCCTTAGTGGCTAGTGCATGTGCGAGGGCCTGTAGACAATTAAATTTAATGAATGGCAATTAATTTTTGAAAAAAGGAGATTGCAACCAAGAAATCAATTTACCACTTAAGAATTCTAATGGCGAGTAATGTATATTTATTAATTGAACAGAATTGGAGTAAAATTTTCATTTAGCTTGTTCCAAGAATTCATCTTATATACTGTTCAGGTTGGTTGAAACTTGAAACTGCAGCACATAAATGGTTTTACGTAAAACTATCTGATTCTTTTCATTTTTTTTCCTTTTAATCTGCAATCAGTAACCTGATGTGCCTTCTGATGTGAACTTCCTGATTTTCCATCTCTTGCTCATTTGTTACTTAACATAATTTTACTGCCATGGATTTATTCAGATAATGGACCATGTGGGATTCTTGCTATGCAAAGGTTCTACTGATCATGTTGTTCATTTTAATCTGGACATAAATCACAGATTGATTGTTAAAGGTAAAACTTTCATCCTTTTATTTTTGCATTTAGGTTAGATTTTAACTGTATATTGTTCAGTAACAGTATGCTCAAATGTACCTATTCCCTGATATCCCTATGATTATGCAATCATGTCATTTAACATTTGTTTAGTGCTTAGAGCAGCTCTAGAATTTAAACTTCTAGTGCAACCTGTTGTCATATTGATATCAGGTCTGCAAAAGTATCATATGATAGTAGCTAATTTTTCAGACACAGCCAGAAATTGGCTAGACTTGGCTGAAATTGCCTGATCTTTAAAAAATTAGACATTCAAGCCGATCCGGCTGATTCTTGCTTGGAATCTGCCAGCTGACTTGCATGAAAATCTGACATCTTGATAAAGTTTGTTCATGCAAATCTATCTTAACTTGCCATGAGGGCAAATTTCCCTGATTGAGACCAACTTGTTTGACATTGATCCATATAGTTTACCTTTAAGGTCATCTATATGGCTTTCCTTGAAATATATAAATCATGTATAACCTTCAGGAACTTTTCATTCTAGAATTTTGCTCGACACCAACCTGATTTTTACTGCCTGGTAGGTTTGGTCATGAGTGTACTTTATCAAATAGTATTCTATAACCATTTCCATATTGGTAATAGGATATACACCAAACTTCACCTAATACTCTTTTGATCAGTGTTTACAAAAAGCTTCACATTCCTATTTTGATCATGTATCATTTTTGATAAACCACTAGAGTGGTATGGTACAAGTGTACTACATGATATACGAGTTGTGCAATCCAGTACCAATAAAAAATAATAAAAAAATACTACTGACTGTACCGGCCCTTTGTTGGACCAGTAAGCACTGGTCAATAGACTCAATACTTACCAGACCATCAGGTACATGAAACATTGATCATGAGGTTCCTTTCACTCATATGTAGGAACTTACAGGAGCATTTTAGTTTTGTGCCTTCTACATTTTGATATTGCTCGTTTTTTTAGTTTTGCATTTACTGTTGTCATAAGGAGCTATCCTCCTTAATAATACCTTACTTGAATCTATAGTTGAAATTTGATTGCCTGTATTGTGGTAAGGAGCTAGGTTTAACTACTCCATAAGTCTACTGATCTCTTGCTTTACTGTTCTCAATCATTTCTTTCTCATCTTTATGTAAATTTTGAAATCATCTTCCATGATCCATGCAACCTAGCATAACTAGTATTGAATATTTGTTTGGGGGTACACATAGTTTCCCATACTAACTCCAATTTATGATTGCATGCAGCCATCGAGGAATGCAGCCCATTTAAGAAAGAAACTGCTCTTGCTATGCAGAATACCGATGATAAAACAAGACATATGGAGATTGTAAAGGAACCTTATTTTAATTCTCTTAGGAACTTAATTCTCTGTTATCCAGGTACATGTTTTCCTGTTTCTTTGTAATCCTTATGATTTTTTTCCATATATGTTACTAGCTTATTATGTTGGCTTTCTGATTTTGCTTCTTTATAAGGAATCAATAATGTCTATAACCAATGTTTCTTCTTGGTTCACTTATCCTTTTTAAATAACTAATGCTTGTCTCATGTTGATACTTAAGAGCATAACATCACAGCTTTTGGTCTGTTACTATGATCTTGGTAAATGGTTTTTTCGACTGTACTGCTTTTATATATTCTAGTTAAACTATATTATATGGATATATTTTTATGTTTATGAAGGTAGTAATACGCTAATAATTGCTTCTTGTAGTCAAGAAGAAGGTAAATAACTATGCACCATGTGACATAAGGTTGAATAATGAAGTGGTATCTTTTTAATTTTTATGAGTTCATTTATTAGATAATTATAAACAGAGACATACTTGTGCAAACCTATTAGATGTAGAATCTAACATAACAAGTTAATAAAGTGGATTCTTTCTTAACAATAAGTTCAATTATTAGATAATGTATATAAACGGACACATACTTGAGCAAGCCTATTGGATTCAGAATCTAACATAAAAGTTATTCTCATATAGAGTTTGCTAGCTCTAACAATCAACACTTCAAAAATCAACTGCAACAAGTTGATGTTCTTGTATCGTATGGCTTATGTGCATTGTGAGTTTGTGACTGCATAGGGGGATGGTTATTAGTTCATATTAAAATATGAAAATAATATAAATAAGAATAGGAATATGTAATCAAGTGATTGATAGGAAAGTGTGTAAGAAGCAAGGAGTAGTGGATTGACTTCCATACTCAACTAGCAATGTAAACAATGTTGCTATTGAGGGCGATATAAACACTTGTGGAAGAGTTTTCTGCATCCAGCTTTGCCGTATGCCAGTCATTATTGATAGATATGAATCTATCATTCCATGAATGAACTGTTATACATGCCAATATGCATAAATCGCCTATAATATCCTTTTTGTTTTTGCATTGAACCAAGTTAGTGTCTAGCATGGAAACAGCCATTGGATGCCTAAGAAAGAGATTAGACTGAAGTTTGAGCCTTCAAGAATTGCATTTTAGTTTTCTACAGCTACTATTAATCTCTATTATTGATTGAGAGAGCAGTTTTTGAATGTTAAGAAATTAGATGTGAGTATTAAGAAAATGTTGTTTTTCCATTAACTTAAAGGTTAGGATGTTGACTTGTTAATTGTTATCATGAAAGGTGGTGACTGAGAGGAGTAAATTAACACAAACCAAATAACTGTAACTGTAGAAAAGTTATAATAAAGAAACAGGGTTATGTCAGAACCAAAATTTTCTGTTTCTCCTTTTCATTAACAAAAATTTCTTTAAAGTATGTTTATCCCATGGAAATTGAATTTTTATATGTTTATATGGTAAGAAATCTGTATAATCTGGAAAACTATTTTGCACATTTTTATGAATGTTAACTCTTCATCTTCAAAATTTTCTGTGGAAAATGAAAAAAAGAATAAATTAAATCCTCATTTTTTTGTTAACTTTGAACATATATCTCTAAAAAATTATGTAACTTTTTCATATAATTCAAACAGCTGAAAAATGAAAGGGAATCAACTCCTTTTGTCTTCTATGAATTTGTACCTATGTTTTTTGTAAAGTTTTTAGTGGATAATCATTTTCCATATTTTTCCTTGCAACCAAATAGACACTTCTGTTTATTTTGAATTTCTTCAATTGAATAAATATTTTTACTTCTTCAAAAATCAAATATACTTTGATTTCTTTCATCATATTGATGTCTCAATTGGTAACATAGACAATCAAACATCATAGAGCCATATATTTTAAACATTGGACTTTTTGAGAAAGCTAATGAGGCTAGTTTGTGAGCCTTATATGAGGGGAGCCTCAAAATTAGAGCTCATGAGGTGGATCTTTTTTTCTTTGATGGTGTGTCCTCTGAGTCTTCCCACTACTGCTTGCAGCTCCGAGTCATGGAATCTAGATCACCTGACAACATGTTCTTTGTCTATTTTCTTCTTTCACTTGTTTGTATGCTGTTAAGTAATGCAAATTGTAAATCTATCACACATTTTGTATGTTCCTTTTTTCTTGAATGGATTGTATGTGTTCTGTAATTACAATGATTGGAGAATAAAGTGTAGGCATACCTTGTAAACCATTTCAAACTTGCTGTTTTCAGTCTTGACAGATTTAGATTGTCATATTTGATTGTTTAATTTTTGCTGACTGGTTGCCATTATTTTTGGTATGATCTTTATTTGAATAAAATCACTGATAAGGTCTTCTATCTTCTGGATTTACTAGCATTTCTATTTTTGACCATTCCAGGATCTGTGTCTGTAGATGAAGATGGAAACCACATATTCATATCTGACAGTAACCATCATAGGATCATCATTAGTGATGGTGCGGGGAAGATTTTGGATTGTGTAAGAATTAATCTGCTTGCCTGTTGATTACATTTAGACATGCTATATTCAATTTTAGCCTGTTATACTATATTAGAGATTTTTGAGGCGAATGTTGGAATACTGCTTTGTTTATTAAGATAAACACAAGGAAGATCAGAAGAGAAAAGTAGGACAATAGGAATCCTAAAAAGAAAAAGAAAAGGAGATGATTACGACCATAGGCTGATCTACATGCAGCAAAGTTGTCAAACTCAGAAGCCTTGGGAGGTAGAATTGCTTTGAAACTAGCACTCATGAAAAGTTGTCCTAACCTCTTAGGACACAGGATGATTCCTCAAGTGTCACACTTAATTATTTGTGTTAGTCCACATTCCATGTTCTTAAGGAAACGAGATTACAACCTGGAATAAGATTGCAGCCTGAAGAACAAGAAGGTAACATGGTCATATACACACAAATTTTTACCTTGCACTGACAGATAGTATCTTCCATCTGCTTTTATGAGGAAGTGAAGCACATACAGTATGTATCAAAGTAGCACTTTGGCACCCATCATTACTCTAGAAATTAGTGGCATGATTTTATTATAATTTCTCTTTGCAACTATTGAAATGGATTTGAGTGCTAAAAAGGTGTGTTTACCTTTATGCTTTCTCTCACACTTTACTCACCATCACTAATGATGATCCTAGTACAGTTACTGTCAGTTACAAATATATGGTTTCCATTTGCATCTACATATACAGATATATTTTAAATCTTTTTTTTTCAAGATTGTTAACAAAAGTAAAGTCATATTGAAATTAATGACTGACAAATCTTCCTAAATGAAATTTTGAAATCTTTACAAGGAGACCATCGTCATATGGCTTTTGAAGCAGCACCTTAAAATCTTTCCTTGGAGATCACAGGCTGCTGGTGATCTCCACTGCTTTTCACCACTGGCTTTTCTTATTGTTGTATCACTAGTTATCTTCTACTATTGCTAGCAACATTTTTAAACTTGCTCTCCTATCAAGAACTATTGAGGGTCCATAAACTTGCAACATAGCATCATAAGATCCTCCAACCTAATCTAAATTAGCTTTTGAAAACCATTTATATAAAATTCCATAAATGTTTTCACATGATCGATTATAAGAAATTAAAATGGCACCAATGTAATATTTTAACAAAGAGAATTTAGAAACTTAGAGATGCAATTGCATGCAGTGCTGCACATGCAACACACTAGAGAAAAGGTAGCTGCTTAAGTATCAAACTGCAGAGTAGTTCTGCTGGCTGCTGCAAGCAATTTGAAGTGCTCACAAGAATAGAAAACTGAATGATCAAGTAATGCCTAACTTCCATTGTCATGTTACTTTCGCTCAGAGTGGTGTATTCATTGATTTGAAGCTGCACTTAGTATAGCTAAATCAACTAATTAAGGCACATGAAATCATTTAGTAAAAGCATCTTTAACTTGAAACCTCATTTTAACTTTTCAATTTACTTGTATCAAACATCAGGGATGAAAGAGGAATACCTTATCCAAATAATTATAACACAGAAAATTAGTTAATGTAGCAACCATGATCAAGATAAATGTGACCAAGGTTGAATTTATTGTGCATAATGGAGGATAAGACTAACAACATAATTAGTTAAAAGATGTACAACACAGTGACAAAAAACTGCAGACAAAAAAAACTAGTAATATAACTCAAAGGAAAAACCATGCGGCATGACAGAACCACCGATCCTTTTTGGTTTTGCTCTCACAAGAGGAGCCTCTAGTTGTCATAGAGAAGAGGGGAGAGATGCCAAGCAACAACAATGATTTGTGGTCGTAGAGAGAGGGTCAAAGGAAGGGGAGAGAATGGAGGCAGAAGCCAGACGATGGAGGGGAGAGGAGGAGATGCACATTGGTGGTGTTTCATGGTCGTGGAGAACCGGGTGGAGGGAGGGGTGGCGAGCGATGGTGGCCATTCCTAGCTATGTTAACTTGGAAAAGCAAGGGAGTAGAAGAGGGGACGAGACTTCCAAATCTCTCAGGTGAGAGGAGGTGGTAGGTGGTGGTTGTTATTTGGATGGAGGATTTGTTGGTGGTGCTGGTTGTTGCTTAGAGTGAGGATTTGTTGGCATTGCTAGCTGTTGCTCAGAGAGAAGATTTATCGGGTAGGACATCAAGGGGGGCACACGTTAGAAGATTGGGCGCATGGTGGGTGTAAATGCGGCTTGGGTTTTAAGAGAGAGAAATAGGATAAAACTTGGTTAATTCAGGTCAACTAGTACAAGTAGACCAAATTTACTGAGTTTACTATTGAGTTGAACTAATTCGAGGTCATGATAGGAGAAGCTAGGGCTCAAATAGAAATAAATAGGTTGAGGAGTAGCTAGGTGTTGTGATCTAACATGATTGAATAACTGACTTGTTAACTTCGTTGAGGTAAAACATTGATCCAAAATGGTCAAGTCTAAGTTAACAGTTTTATTCTCAATGAGTCCTTATAATCCAAGACCGTTCACTTCTGATGTGAGACTAAAATGGGGTGTTACAATCTCCCCACTTAAGGTTTTGACATCCTTGTCAAGGTCTAGTATAAACAAGAATCAGATCCTAGCATGATGAATGTGAGGCCATCAAGGCACCATAACATGTTTTTGGCAGCTAGAAGATGTTAAATCAGCATGAAAGTTTTGAGATTGTTATGCAACTGAATTTAGTTATTGTTGGAGAAAGTTGTTGATAAGTTATAGCTGGGCACAGATGGAAGTGCAAACATAAGTGTACTGGATGACGCTCAAAGATGTGGAACTCAATGATATGCAATTGCTAGATACATTTATAAAGATTTTTTGGTATCAAGTTCAGAAGCCATTTGAATTTTCATTGTTATTTTGGAGCACAAAGCAACCATAATAAAGTAATGTTCAAATGAATTCGGCTAGCGTGGGAGATAGTTGCTTATCCTTAAGATATGATGTAACTATTTACAACTCTGCTGTTTGCTTCACATGATTATGCTATTCTTGAATTTAAAATAATGCATTATGGATTAAATTAAAAAAAATGCAGTTGCTTATCCTTATGTCGTAATGTAACTATTTACAAATCTTCTTGTCTCTTGGCATGATTATGCTATTCCTGAAGTTCATATAATGCATTATGGATTAGATAAACAATGCACTTAATGCTACATTTGAAAATCTTGAGCTGCATGGCTTACGGATTAAAGGTTGGTCAAATGATACGGCACTAAGCTTAAGCCTAAGGATTTGGATTCATCAAAAGGAAATTGATAAAAAAAAAAGTTCTTAGGCTTTGTGATTCATTTATTTTAGCTGGATGCTTGAAACTATGAATTCACTAAAGGGTGGGCCAGCTTTCTGTATTTTGTGACGGTGACTGCTAGACAATCAAATCCAGTAAACTCTCGTTTTCTATACAAATGCTTGGTGTGTAACCTTCTTCCACCTAAACCTTGGACTGTCAGTCTAGTTCTCCAGTACTAGATGTCCATGGATTCTCTTATGAGAATCAAGGCGCTAATGATCTTATAGAATTAGGCTAGTCATACTGCCCTGTGCGTGCTAGCTGACTGTAGGTTTACTTGTACCCTCTCATCAAATTTTGGTCTTCCTAATCTGTTCCCTTTTCTTCTTTCTTCTTTACCAGCAACTCCTTTACGCTCCATGTTTTTAAAAACTCCCTTTTGTATTAAATTTCTCAAATTTGATATGGGGCATATTTCTTGTTCTCCAAATCAAGTTCGAATTTTAATATCATGTGCCTTAATTTTCTTTCTTAATAATGGTTTTTTTTGCTAAGTGAAGCCTAAAATTTCATGTTCCAATCATGCAGTGTTGAATTTATGCTGGATGTATGTATTTCATGAAGATCCATCTGAATGTAAGCTAGTTCCATATGGTTGTCTTGGATCCTACCTAAATCTGCAAAAAATTAATATTGATCAGCATGGTTCTGGTCTACATCAGCCAAGTATGCTCATTTGTGGATCCAGCCTAAATCCATGTGGATCCAACCTAGATGTGCATTAATTTAAGCTAGCTCACATTGTCGATCTGGCCAAGATTGGTATGTCTAAGCCATAATATTTCCTTATCCTTTATTATTCTGATGATGGTAGTTCTAACTCAAGTATATTATTATTCTGATGGTGGTAGTAATAACTCAGGTGTTTTATACTGTTGACTTTTCTTAAAATGTTGAATAAATTGGGGTTCTGGTTTATCTGATGATTCAAATAATACGATATACAGTGATTTCATTCATTTTGCAGATCGGTTGTTCCCCAGGTTTCGAGGATGGTGAGTTTGAATCTGCTAAATTGTTCCGGCCTGCTGGATCCTTCTATCATCCTGATGAAAATTGCCTTTTCTTTGTGGACTCTGAGGTATGACATACAATATGGTGATTAGCGCATCTGAATTCCTCCTTATACCTGATGTCTTTGTAATGCAAACCTCATTGTGAAGAGTTGTAAAGTAAATTTCAACTACCACTGCATGCCTGGTTCTTAAAGCTTATTACTACATCAGTACATTGCCATATATTGGACCTTTCAGATAAATGTTGTTAGCAGCTATTTGGGAATGTTAGTTGCTTTAGCATTGAGTTGGATGAGATAGTCAGCTGAAAATTTCAAATATCTTGATTATTGCAAGTGTCTTAACCAGCCTTATGTTTCTGCAATTTTGGTATTGTAGTATTATTGTTTTTATTCAAGTGTGTTATTGCTGCCAGTAAGGAATTGGCACATATTAAGGTCCCAGCTATGCCATCACATTGCTAGGTCAATTTTTGGTTGGTTCCACTAGGCACAAAGGCCTTCTGGAATCCACAATGTACTATTTCTAGAAATGTATCAGCATACTCTCCCATGCCACAAGACCACAATCCTTGATTATGTACCATTTATATTTCTCATGTCTCAAGATTGATGTTCACATATACTTGCCAAATTGAATCTTAACTTGGCCAGGAAAACAAGAAATGATGCACAATTGTTGCATCCAAAGCGTTATAGTGTTAATTCTTATAATTGATTAATTATACTAATGGGAGGCCATCTACCAAATTGTTCTTAGCTTAAATTATCAGTTTCACAGTGTAGTAGGATTCTTGTCTTTTAGTAACCTTCATGCTATGATTTATCATGCTGGAATGCAGATCCAGACTAGTTTTGCTTTGGTGGTCTTTTCTCTCCTTTTCTTATCATGGCTTCTGATTCTTATGATGTGTATAGTTTCTTTAGATGTTTTAATAATCAAAAATGGGGTGGCGATATGCATTTAGGCAATTGCTTTTGTTCTTTTCTACCCTTACTTTCTGTTTGCCTCTATTGTAATAAGTTTTGCTTAAAAATAGAACGAAGATTATATGCATACTTGGCTTCGTCTTTTTCTTTTGTGGATTTGATGACAAATATGAGCAAACATTAATATTTTAACCAAGCAATGCCGTTTCGAGTACTAGACCTGTAGATCGGATTGGTACGTATCGGTCAGTACACAATACATATCGGTGACTCGAAGAGGAATAAAAAGGAGAAGATGAAGGCGTAGTGGAGGAAGCGGAGAAAGAAGGACGAAGAAATGAAGAAGAGGAGGCAGCGGAGGATAAGGGAGGAGGAAGTGTACCTATCAACAACACACGGTGGGTGGCGAATGGCGATGGGTGACACCAGGAGGTGGAAAAACATGTATGTGTGTGTGCATGCGTGGGCACATGGGTGTGTGTGTGTGTGTGTGTGTGTGAGAGAGAGAGAGAGAGAGAGAGAGAGACGGCAAGGCAGTGGATGACCCAAGGCAATGATGAGGCAACAAGCGGTGATGAAGCAATGGGAGGTGCATTGAGAGAGATCAGGAGAGACAGGAGAGAGGATCTTGTGGATAGGGCCACTTTCTTTGCCATCCATCTTTGCTGTGGATAGGGCTTTCATGGTTCTTGCATTCATGAACAGCTCAAATTTGAACTTGTCTTTGACTCAAGGTCAATCTGTTCAAAATTCTGTGAATTTAATCAAGCTCAAGATGAACATGATCAACTATATGATCGGCTAGACCAATTACAAACAAGGATTCTCTTCAATCTTGTTCAACTTGTTTACAACCCTTGTTGTGATGCATCATAAGAATTCTCATTTTAGTTGCTGGTTTTGTTCCTTTTTATCTTTATTTTTTTCTTCATTTTGAAAATAATAGATTTGAATTTATGATCTGCATTATATTGAACTGTCTTCACATTTTACTTCAATTTTTTTATCACTCTGATTTTTCTGAACTTGTATTAATGTTTGATTATATATCCACTTTTTCCCCTTTAATAAAGAGTTATACAAGTGGCATAGAAGATGCAACTAGTGATATGTTCTTCCTTTTTTTAAATCTTTACACATTAATTTATTGGTAGAATCATGCCATTAGAAGAGCTGACATGAAAAAGAGAGTGTTGGAGACAATTTACCCCGCTTGTGTTCGGAAAAGTAGCAGTATTTGGAGCTGGATCCTAGATAAACTTGGACTGGAAACTAAAGTTGTTTCACAACCTGGGGAGCTTGATGTGGACTTGATTAAATTTCCATGGTATTTGATGAAGACAAGGGATAATGACCTCTTGACGATAGACCGCAGGTGATATATTCCTTTTACTAATTAATTTAAACTGAATAAGCATAGTTTCTTTTAATTTAAACTGTATAAATATGGTGCCAAATTTTCAGTTTTGGATGATCATTTACCATTTCAACAATTTTAGAAATTTTTTTGGTATATGTGTTAGTCATTGCACCACTTGTTGCAAAAGTTATATTTCTTGTTTAACTGTTGAATTAGAGGGGAGCCATTTTCATGCCCTGTGGTTTTGGTAGATATCAAACAAGTGTGAAATTAAAAATTGCGTCATCTACATGATCATGCTATTTTTCAAACTTCTTGGATAGTGGATGACTTGTATAACACCCAATTTGAATTAAAATACTTGGTCAAGGTAAAAATAAACCATTCCGTTATTTTACATTGAACAGCCAAATCAAGACTTTTAAAAGTTCAACACCATTTATGGTCCTCATGTGCATGGTGCATGTATTAAGGCTTAAAATGATCTTCTAACCTGATCAAAGGGACAAATATGTAGATTTCAGCCAATTAAATGACAACATAGTTTCAACATGTAGGTGGCAAAATTATTGGTAGGCTTTCCATCAGTATTCTGATTGACCTGAGGCATAGAAATTATTTATAATCGTATCACATTATAGAGAACACTGAATTTGCCCATATCTGATAATCTTCAGTGGCAGTCCAGCATTTATAAAGACCTGGAAGTACGCCAAGAATGGTGGTCTAAGTATCTACCATAAGCAAACTGTGTCATGGTTAAGCATGAGCAGCTTTGTCTATATGCATGTATGCATATTCACCTCTATGCCAATGGTGAGATTTAGTAGCAACTTCTGTCAACTAACATTGTTTCACTAAAGATTTTGGCAACAAAACCTTTGTATCCCATTATCACCATGTTTCTAAAATATTGTAGTTCATTTGGTACGGAAGTTGATATGGAAGATTTGTCTACTTGAAGATGCTATTTTAAATAGGTATAATAGTTTAAAATGTTGGCCTATCTTAACCATGTAGGCACTCAAGTAGGAAAAGGAGATGGTGGAGGAGATTGAGGCTTGAAGAAACTTACCATATGCAAATTGTCATTCATCTGCATCAGGAAATTTTACTTTCTATACCCCGCAAGATGTATCTTTTGATGTTTCTAGAAATAACTTATTCTATATCTTTGAACTTTTTATGTTATTTGAATATTTCTATATTATTCTTATTAATGTTTATGTTGATAATTTTCACATTTTATTGTTTTCTTTTAAGGAATAATTTTTTAATCATATAAATAACTTTTATAGTAATATATATCAAAATAGAATATATTTTCTGTATAATATTATTTTTTTGCTGAATTATTACAAAAGAATTTCCTACTGTGACATGGTTGGTTTCAAATCATGAGGGCATAGTGATGTACTGCCCGTATCGGTCCCCTGTTGGATCAGTATGTACCGCTCATATCGAGTGGTATGTTGCAGTATGACGAACTTTGGATAAACTACTACTTTTAAGGAACTTGTATAGGTAGACCTGTTTGGATACTTTTTCCCACCAGCAGTTCTAGACTAGTTCTTCAGCCACTGCTTTAAGTGAACCTTGACTTTAGACTCTAAACAAAGGTTGGCTAGGATTGATAGTTTAGCTCTTTCTTAAGCATCATGATATAATACCTAAGAAAAAAAAGGTATATAATGCATATTTACAAGTAAAAGTCTGGAATTATTATTTCATTCTATCATATATGTTAGTTGTTGGTAATAAACATACCATTTCATCAGCTATATCCAGATATAAAGAAAGGCAAGTACAACCATTCTTTAAATGTCAAAGTAGTTAGGTAGTTGGGTTTTATCTTCTTGTGATAGGTTACAATATTTTTATGTTGTCATAAAATAAAGAAATGATTGTTATTTGAGTTCAGGATGAAAATATAATAGAAGTTTGACTAGCAAAATGTCTGGACTTGGGAGAGCATTGAATGCATGAGATATGTATGGTACCTTTGCATGATCAATAATCTGATTTTGCAGCTTTGAAACTTTATGGGTTGTGAGCATGGAAACTGGAGAAATTAAGAGGATTGTAAGAGGTATGTCTTTTGTTTTATGGCTTCACTAGTATCTTTGATCAAATAAGTCTCAACTACAGAACCTGATTTTTGATAGGAGTCTCCAACATTATGGAGATGTGCGGGGACATGATAATGGAGAAAGTAACTCTACTGAAGGATATTTACCAGAATATGCCATCAAAGAGACTTCATCATTGTCTTTCGTTTGAGGGAATCCCTTTTGCTGGTTTGTTTTCATCAGTAGCAAGTTTCCAAAATGATGTTATCTTGTGTGATGCAGGTTGGTTATCCTTGAAACTTCTATACTTTCTCTTTCTGCGCTAAAAATTTATTAACTGTTACATTCCATGTTCCTTCCCATGAAGCTAGTCAAAGAGTCCTCAAATATCATCGAGAATCCAGGGGCATTTCATTTCTACATTTTTCAAACTTAGGAGTGCTTGGATTACCATATTGGATGGTTTGTCCTCTTGAAAGAGTTGTTAATAGGTGTGGTGATTCGGTTTCAATCTTTATTTTCAGTTGGAAATTTTGTTTACCAAGCAAGTGATTGATTGCCTGTTTACCTTTGAGTGATGAGCTAAAGGTGTGATGTTTTAGTTTTTCTAATTCCTTGATATGCTTGTCATGTTCTAGTGGAAATGCAGGGAGCTTTAGTAGTGAGCAACTCCATCATTTTGATGTCCTTCCTGGTAAGTAAAAGGATTCTGGTTCATCATATAACATACTTTTCTTGTCGACATATTATATTCTTTTTTTATTCCTAAGCATAGAGATTATCTTAATCTGCATAGATGGTGGGTATCTTGCTGTAGTTCTTTTGAAATGTCAGGAATATGTTGGTACCCTGTCGTCTTGTCAATGATTGATTATGAATCAGATAAAATTGCATTTGTTGTAGTTCTTTATCATGTTCATATCATTTGAATATACAATGGTCAATATTATACAATGTTCTATACTAGCTATTTAACATTCATGGTTTCCAAATACAAACGAAGTAGACGAAAAAGCATTCATGGTCTCAGATTACCATCTTTGGGCATCTTTTTCTTGGTCACAACTTATTAGTATACCATGCTTGAATTAATTTGGTGTATGGCATGGAGGAGATAACTACATTGTTGAACTCATGGTACATTGTCTGATTTTTCACAGGAAGATGTGATATACAATTTTCTGTGGATATACCTCATGGTACTGAACTCGTAGCACCAGTGGACAGAAGTTGCATATGGTGCCAAGCTAGAGGTTCTGCTGCAGAACTCTCTGGATTGCAGGGAGCAGTAGCTGGCGCAAAGAAGGTATCATGAAGAGGGCCTTTCTTTTCTTCACTCTTGTGACTTCCCTTGCTCTAGTAATCAAAACTATTTTGGTGGATTTGCAAGGTTGGTGTTGCTCAGCAGTGGTTTGATGAATTGGATAACCTTGCCTTTTCGAAAATGGAGGATGAACCCTGTTCTGAAGATGGAGAGGAACTTCCTGAGGAACACTTCCAAGTTAAGGACAAGATTCATTTTGATTGTTCTCTAACCATAAGTCCTGGGACTGCTGAGGTACCCATTTTCACTGTTCTCATGAACTCCTATTTAAAGTTGTTCTCTTAGCAAGGTAGAATTTCATTCTCTCTGGAATTTGATGGATTAATATTCAGAAGGTATATCACTTGATTGCTTTTGGTGATGATGGATGCACGTTCTCTTGTTTTCTGTTGAAATTGGTTTTTCATCTCAATCACAGCTTTTCTTTTGATGGAGATCTCTCTATCAAGACAAACAAGCATCAAAGTCAGATCTGGGATGTGTTGCTGTTGGTACATCTTCCTTGTAAACTGATTTTAAAAGTGGGGCGATATGGCTCATCATATTTAATTTATTTGTGCATATGTAAAACCTTGCAAATTAAATTTCTGATGCATCCAGATGGAGTCATTGTTTGACCACTAATGATAAGCTTCCATGTAAACTCAGTCCTTTTTTTAGCTTTGCCCCGGCAATATTGGTTTTCTTTTTGAATTTCATTATCATGCATGCTTGTAGAAAATAATAGCTTTTCCCAAATTCAGATCAGCAAGAAAAAAAAAAAAACAATCAGCCAGAATCAGGATACTAAGAGAAACAAAAGGAAAATAACTTTTCCCTGTTAAAAAGATTGTGCGCAGTCTATCCCTTTTCTTTTCATCTTTCTGTTCAACGACCATAAGATCAAATATCCAAAATGGAGGATAGATGGTGGTCCAAGAAAATTTGAGGTAATCTTGATTTTTCATGATTTCATGTTTGTGTTTGTACAAGCAGTCATGCATGGTTTAGATAAGACCCCATCAGTGAGTCACAAATACCAGTTTCCTTATGTTGCAGTTCTGACGTATCAATTTGTGTTGTTGTTTTTTTAACCCACAAGAAGTCTTTTATGGTATATCTTAGATTTTGACATGCTTGCGACACCAGAGGTTTGTAGCAAGTTCTCTTTTTATGATTAATACCGCTGTGGTTTAGTCCGCCACATATGGTGGTAACATGATGTTGATTGCTTTTGATCCTAGGTGGTGGTATCGGCAGTTGTCTATCTGAAGCCAAAGAAAACACAAGGTAGTACAGAGGAGTGGAGTTTGCGAGCGACAACGCTTCTGGACTCCAACAAGCATGAAGTCAGAAAAATGGAAGAAGATGCATCCATTAGGTTGCTTTCAAAAACCTTTGAAGATGTAGAAGATATGATCTTCATGAAGCCTCTGCATATCAGACTAAGATTCGAGTGCGCTGACCACCCAGCTGGCGAAACCACTAAAGAGACCATTTGCACAGACTCCACAATAAAGGTCCCTATATCTTTGAACTAGTTACATGGTTGTAGTTTTCCATCCATTGTGTTCTTCCCTGATGCATCTCTTTCTTTCTCTAACAAAGAGGTTTAAAATCTTTAGTCAGCCGCGTCTCCTCTTCCTGTTTTCCTTTGTGCTTTCCAAATAAACTAGGGGGATAAGCAGCTTAGTTGTAACTTACAGTGATGTTTATGTTTTGAAACACACATTATATCATTAGTGTTTTTGGTAACTCTGGGTTTATATATTGAACATGCAATTTGTGATTTGTCTTGTCTCCTGTCTGCCATCAAAATGAAAGTATCATGTTGCTGTTTCAGTATCGATGAGGAATAATTAGTCTTCATCATAGTGTGCATAGTTCTCTTGCGACCCAAGCAACCATCAGTGTTCTTCAAACAATTTGAATCTCCCCTACTTTACTTATAATGGTTGTCGATCGAGTACATTTTTACCCATTCAGATGACTTAAAAGGGTCTTCAATCTGAGGGTGGTTGATAGATGGGACAGATACAAAGAAGCAGCTCCACACACACTGGGGGATGTTAGCAGGTGATCTGAAAGCAATGATGTGGTGTGGTGCCAACTTATTTTCTATCCAACCCAATCTCTCTCTTTCTCTCTCTCTCTCTCTATCCTGAGGACCAGTAGGTAAGCCATTACTGACTGCAGTTCCATTCCATTCTGTGCAGGGACCTCTGTCTTCCAAGTCACTCTTGTGGAGGCTTGAGATTTCAAAGGATATGATGATGATTGGGTAGAATGGAGTTGTTATTGGGAGACACGATCATAGCTTTCGACTCCCAAGTTTTGATGGTACGTCTCCTCCTCTTCTTCTTTCCTCTTGCTCAAGTTCTACCCTAAATGTGTTTATCAAGATTTATTTTAGTAAATCACATAAGTTTCATTGTAATATTCTAATAACTAAAAGTGCAATTTTGTTTGCCAATATTCTATTGTCATACCTCCCAAAAATAAGGGAAAAAGTGAAAAGGGTTGTGCAAACATGAAGGACTTATTAATCATTGTTTCAGCAGTAGGGGAGGGAGAACATGCCACCGTTGTGCAGAAAGCCACACCCGCCTTCCTCTTTTACTCGTTAGCTCTGCCACACCCATCATCAAACCACCACCACCTGCTGTTGCCTTGGTGGTGGTGCGGTGGGTGAACCGAAGGCCCCTATAAATCCACCACCTCCATCTACCCCTCCTCACCCCACCACCCTCTCTCTCTCTCTCTCTCTCTGAAGACCAGCCGGCCATGGGTTCCGTCAAGAACGCGGTGCAGCTGACGCCGGAGGAGGATGAGGAGGCGTGCATGTACGCCATGCAGCTCGCGAGCGGCTCCATCCTACCCATGACGCTGAAGGCGGCCATCGAGCTCGACCTCCTCGAGATCCTCACCAAGGCCAGCCCGGGCGCCAGGCTGAGCCCCGCGGACGTGGCGGCGCGGCTGCCCACCAAGAACCCGCACGCGGCCGTCATGGTGGACCGCATGCTCCGCCTTCTGGCCGCCTACAACGTCGTCAGCTGCACCGTCGAGGCCGACGCCGAGGGGAGGCCGTCGAGGACGTACGGCGCGGCCCCGGTGTGCAAGTACCTGACCAAGAACGAGGACGGTGTGTCCATGGCTGCTTTAGCTTTGATGAACCAGGACAAGGTCCTCATGGAGAGCTGGTAATCCAGTCTTTAGCTTCGCATCTTACAATTAGTATGTAGCATGGCGGCGCTACATGAAGTGATCGATTTAGAAGATGTTAAGATAAGAGCTTAAGTAGTCTATGATACCTAATTTAGATCGGTTCATTAGTCTAAAATCTATTATATATCACTATAATTTAACCCGAGATATGCATGATCTGATGGCAGGTACTACTTGAAGGATGCGGTGTTGGACGGTGGCATCCCCTTCAACAGGGCGTACGGCATGACGGCGTTCGAGTACCACGGCACCGACCCCCGCTTCAACGCGGTGTTCAACGACGGCATGAAGAACCACTCCATCATCATCACCAAGAAGCTCCTCGACATCTACCGCGGCTTCGACGACGTCAACCGGCTCGTCGACGTCGGCGGCGGCATCGGCGCCACCCTCTTCATGATCACCTCCAAACACCCTCACATCCACGCCATCAACTTCGACCTCCCCCACGTCATCTCCGAGGCGCCGCCCTTCCCAGGTCTTCCTCCCTTCTGTTTCCCTTTCGTCTCCACGATACCATCCCGTTCTGCTCATATCGGTTGCTGCAGGAGTCGAACACGTCGGCGGAGACATGTTCGCGAGTGTTCCCTCCGGAGATGCAATCTTGATGAAGGTCGGCCAGCTTCCACCGCGATTAAACCCTCTCGTTTGATGATTTAGAGTCTAACAAGCTCGGTTAAATGTTAAATTAGAAGTCTTGAGAGATAGTAAGTCTGAACTATGGCATGAACTACAGTGGATTCTCCACGACTGGAGCGACGAGCACTGCGCGAAGATACTGAAGAGCTGTTGGGAAGCATTGCCGGAGAAGGGGAAGGTGATAGTGGTGGAGTGCGTTCTACCGGTGGTTCCGGAGCCGACTCCCCGAGCTCAGGGCGTCTTCCACGTCGACCTCATCATGCTGGCTCACAACCCGGGTGGGAAAGAGAGGACGGAGGAGGAGTTCCATGGCCTGGCCAAGCAGGCCGGCTTCTCCGGGTTCAAAGCCACCTACATCTTCGCCAACGCTTGGGTGATAGAGTTCACCAAGTAGATTGCACTTCCCATGGCAAGTCACTGAGTCAGTCATATATGCTTCTTGCAGGTTTCCGGCTTGAGCGAGTTCATATATCGTTTTCTTGAGTTCATCTTAGCTTTCAATATTGAAACATGAAAACAACGATGTAAACATAAAAACTATGATTATGTTATTATATGAAAATTTTTAATATCATAAATTGAAATTAAATAATGATAGATCAAATAGTATGATTATGAAGTGTTATTCAAAATTTTTTTATCTAATCTGTACCATCGTTAAATCTAAAAGAAATAACGATGTCGATTATGATTAAAAAGAGATGAGAAAAGATCTATAATTTTTGAATATATATCTTAACATCGTTCGGGATCTTATGAGTAGATATTTCAGTAAATACTTGATAGATAATATAAATATATATATATATATATATATATATATATATATATATATATATATATAATATA